TTCCTCTACTTTTCCTTCTACCCTTTCACACGTAATTGTTATAAACTTTTTAAAATTTGAAGATATGTATTTCTGTGCGTATTTGACCTACATACCTACCTATGTTTAAAATATACTTGCGTGTACGAACAATTCGGCCCCTCGCTGTAGGAGTAGCCTAACTCCAAATTGTGCCGTCCACCTCTCGCACCTGTCGTTCAGGAGTAGGGAAGTTGCGGCACATCTGGTAGACAGGCAACTTCTGCAGCGATGGGTCGAATTTTGTCGATAATTGCACACTGCACAATGCTTGCAAGGAAATATATTCGTATTGCAAACTCAATTTGATGTCGTTCTTCGCAAGCTTGCATACTTTTTTTTTTCAATACGAACACACAGCAGTGTTTTTAAAACAAGTCAGAACTTTACGAGGAATTTGTTGTGAAAAAGGTTGCTAGAACTCTTAATAATATTTGGGGAACGCAGCTCTTCTTCGTTATCAAAAATTGATTCAGGAGTATTTTGACTTGTCAACAACTTTTCCAAATGGAGACAGCAAATGCTCGAGGTTTTTTACTACGAAGCAGTGTTAGGAATTCACAAAATATTTTTAACAGTGAGTTTGCAATGAATCTATGACAGCTTGCAAATATTTTTACTGCAAAACGAAAAAGAATGTTTAGAATACAAAGATCGAAAGTTCCTCGCAACGTTGCAAAGAAAATAGTTTAAAATCATTTTACAGTGCACTGTAAATACCTTGTAAACAAATGTGGCTGCTTTGCAATCGCGGACCGACTACGGACGACTGGCGACTGGCTTTGTCCTTTGCAGTAATTTATCAGTGTGCGTTGCGACTGCATACCCAGGGATACATAAGCGAGCGTGTAAACAAGTTTTCAAAAAAAATGTTTACCCCCCCCCCCACCTCAACAATTTTGTGTTAATAATGGGATATATTTGATATTTTTGATATTAGCTCGTGACCAATTACATTATGACAGTACGTGAAGTCCTTGCTCTGCGTTTTGATGCTTTTTATAATTTTCTGAATCCTTTGGTGAAGAAATTGTAGCACGGTAAATAAAAAAATGTAACAGCCTTTCGAATTGGAATAATGAATAATATAAAATAGGCTAAGGCACCCTAGATTACTATGTCTAAAGAAATTCACTAATAATAGCCACTCTGCGGAAGCTAAATCCCTACGCACCTTCGTATTTACTGTTAAATTTACGCGCCCTCTTTGGTGCTTTACGGTGCTATTGAGGGTTCGCCAGCTGCCGAAACACTTTCGTTTTGCTGGCGAAGCCGTGCAGGCAGGCAGTTCGCCAGTCGTGTGGCTCAGCTCAGCCTGGCTAGAGCACAGCGCAGCCGCCGGCTCTCGTTTTAACCCCGGACTAAATTTAATTCTCTAGTGCAACAGACCGGCCTCCTTGCCCTGCTGTACCCGGCAAAATAAATGAATTATATTTCCGTGTGTGCTTTGCAAATACAATTACGTTGCATTCTGACACTGAACGCTTGACGAAAGCTCGTTGCCAACCATGTTATGAGAACCACGACCCAGGAAACCGTTCCTTTCTAGAAATTAATTGAACTTAGAAAAAATGATCTTCGATTACAGACAAAATTTGGTAGGTTCACCAAAACTTTTGTTTGCTTTTATCCATCACTAATTTTACTGGAACAGCAGATCTTTCCCTGAAATTTTTATCAGAAATAAATAAATTTCTTTGGATCTTGCAAGATGCATAGAAAAATAAAATAAAAATAATCGAATATGAAAAATTTTCCATGATCGGTGCCGTAAATCAAATCTACACTTTCAAACGTATTTATGCGTTGAATTACAAGCACCGCGTATCGCCCTTGAGTTTATTGACTAGGAAGAATTGGCTGTCGTAAAATCACAACAATAGCAGACCACATGATATATTAAAAATTGACGAGGATATTTTTCAGTGTGTCGGCATGGAAATCGTATCTTTGGATCTTGCTACAGAATTTTGTTACGGGAAATAAATCTCATTTCACAAAGGAAAAAAAACCTGCATTAGAGATGCACATGCTTTTCGACTCCTATGTAATAAACAAGTGTACTAGACTTCTTTATTTCTTTTTTAAAACTCTTCATTTACTTTGTGTGCTGTGGCCACAGAATTTGTGTGATTTTGTCACCGCGACGAGGTATTTCGCCTCATTTCGCGCCTCTTTCGTACTATTTCGCATTTATTTCCTATTATTTGACTCGCAGGTTTACGATTATAACCTATTACGCAAGATTATTGTAATGCATTTTTTATCATAAAAACCTATGTTGTTGGTTTTTTTGATTGGAGTTTCTTCCCTGTCAGAGAACATAGGTATGTGGGACAAGTAATGTTGGTTTATTTCTCCCTCGCCTCTATAATAACAAAAAACAACAACACAAAAATAAGCCACATTTTTCAAAGTACAGGACGCTGTAAAAAGTGAAAGGCTCAGTAATCCTAGAGCGAGGATTCTCGCCCTCCTGGGAGCGAGATTTTGCTGAAATTTCTTCGCTCTCCGGAGAGTGAAGTTCGATTTTCGCGCTCGATTAGAGCGATAGATAAAGGAATATCACTCTACAAAAGTGATAGTTAGGAAACGTCGCGGTCTTTTTCAGTGAGGATTCCTAAAGGTAATCTCACTTAATTTGAGTGAGATTCTAGAAAGAGCGAGGTTTCTAAATTTTCTCTAAACACGTTCCCTGCCGCTAATTTTTAGTGCCTAATTTAACATGGGAGCGTGACCACATTTTCGCCACGCCGCAGGGAACGTGTTAAATAGAGCAAGGGGAAACAATCTCGCTCTTTTTAGGTGAGACATCTGACTCTAGTATTTGCAGTGAGACTTTCCCTTAGTTTTTTTTCTAGCAGCTTTGTACTAGGAGGCACTATTGCCCTTTTCAATTTCTAATTTGGAGCGCAAAGTACGGATCAGACCACACCGTCGGTTTTTGTGGTATACGGAGACAACAAATGGGGCCATCTGAATCTGATTCTTGATAGACGTCACGTTAGCACCAAAATTGAGGTACGGAGGGGGCCGTGATCCGCACGGTGATTTAAGAAAGCGCAGCGCAGATATGGAATAGCGTATTTAATTCCTGAGATTTGTTTTGTTTACATTGAATGATAAAACTGTCTTTCTGGCCTGATGACACTAAAATGGACTACAGACAAAGTCAAACTTTCATCGATTCATTGTTAAAACAAGTGTTAAGTTTTGCACGTCAATTGATGTTAAAGTTCAAGTGTGCCTTTTCTCGACACATTGTTGTCTAACTAGGTTAAACGTCAACTGGTGTTTAAACTTCCGACACTTCCGAAAAGAGAGCAGCTGCACACCATATGGTTCCAATTGATAGCATAGAACTGTGTGTGTCCAAGTGTGCAGAATTTTAACGATTTCAAAACGTCTAAAATTAGCACACCACGCAAGTGTGCAGCTTGTGTTAAACACCATGTAATGTGCAAAAACTGGCACACGTTGATCTGCAAGTTAGGCACACCTCTGTTACCAGTGTTCAACAAAATACTCTGGAAACCCAAGTGTGTACATGTATGCGTTATTTGCTGAATACCTACATGCACGCAGCAAATACTGCGTACATGATAATATATGCAGGGAATAGTGGGTACATGATCATGTATGCAGCAAATACTGCACACATGGCCATGTACACACGTAGAGCTCTATGCTAAAAGTTATGTGCCTATGTGTGTACCTGGCCATGTATGCAGTACTTGCTGCATACATGGTTATGTATACACACTATTTTCTGCATACATGTAGGTATTCAGCAAATAACGCATACATGTGCACACTTGGGTTTCTAGAGTATATACGTCTTCGGTCCTGTTGTATTTGCAATCAGTATTTCATGTTTAGCTTTTACCGTGCAATTCATTGTATTCAGGTATCCAACCATGATTGGAATGCTATCTTTCTGTCATGCTGCCAACGTCTCCTTTGAGACATTAAAGTGTGACAGTACATTTAAGCTATTGTCCTAAGTGTAATAACATGCCACAATTCTGTAACTTTCTAAGCTTCAAACTCTCTAGAATTTGTTCAATTATTTTATTGTTGGTTTTCCTTTTGCTTGGAAAACCTTTTTTTAGAGTGTTTTTTTTTTTGGGGGGGGGGGGGAATTATAATTTTGGAAGTTGCCTTATCTCCTTCACACTTCAGTGCAGAGTATGGTTTTATATTGTAAATGTTTTTAATCTAATAGTAAGTAACTTTCTCAGATCTTAGGTAGCATGAGCTTACCACTTTAAGAGTTCCAATCTGTTATTGCGTGGACAACTGTTCAAAATTAGTAGT